TTCTTTCGCTAGTAACATCTTTTTATAGGTTAATTTCCTTAGATATTTGCTGCAAGTGTGTAATCGAAGATAGTACACATGTTATAATTAGTTGAAAGAATACATCACACTTGGCATTAGAAAAGTTTACAGATGTTAGACTGTCCTAGCTCCCCCAACCACAGGTAAATATCATGTTAACAAGTATGTAAGTCAACCTATTGTTTAACAGTCAGCCAGGTGTAACCTATTGTTTGACAGTCAGCCAGGTGTAAAAAATACCCTGTTAGGCCGAGGCATTGTTTACATAATGGGTCCAGGGTCACTGAGGGTGTGACAGAAGGTCCCCAGGGCATTTATCATGAATCATTACCACCATTTACCTGTATTTTTTTGTGACAGTGGCCAAAAGAAATCGACATAAAATCAGGTGATAATAAAATAATTGAATTGCATAGATTATATAGCAGGAAAAACGGTGCATCAAAAAAACATGATACTAACCGAAAAGTGACATAAACAGACGTGATATTAGGTGAAATGTACTGTATAGAACATAACGTATTGTTACATGCTAGAAATGTGTGATCAAGGACCAGCAATGTATAATATATAGAAAGAGTGGCATAAAACGGTGGTATTCAAATGGCTATCAGCATTATCTTTTCTGCAGTTCTTTCATTACATGTTAGAGCTGCAGAATAGAAATTTACTGTGGTTGCACATATATAAGTAAAGTCCCACCAACTGTTCGACTGTTGGCCCAGACAAGTTATTTCTTGTTTGATTTATCCTATATACGCAAAACAAACAGAAGCTCCCTTCTGTTTCAATTGTTAAATACCCGAGATGGAGGCATTTCTGTAAAAAGAAAATTATATAAAAAAACAATCTGTATGACTCTTAGCTATAGTAAATGGACGAGCTTATGTCAAAAAAAAAAAGCTGAGCAAAATGAATATCTTTGTTTAAGACACAACATACCGCGCTGAGCCTCTTATCTGGACTATTATCTTAAATGATGTTATATCGTGCTTGATTGTGAGTCGACCTATTTAAGTGTACGTGCACTGTAGCTATCAGTCGTTCATGAAAATAAAGACAGTAATCAGTTTAAAAGCAGTGAAATAGCAATTGTAAACATACAAAATGTACATCAGCTGACATATATAAGTGTTTTATTTAGACTTTGTTTTAGAATATGAAGTTTAACACATCAGAAATAAGCAATACAAAATGTTTCTTTTTTAAACAAAAAACGATCAACACGCTTAAGAAATAAAATAGAAAATATATATATATGAGACTAAAACAGAACTGACAATCGATACGAAAAAGCAATCGGAGATGCTTACCCCCAAAAAATGAGGCGGAACCAGATGCTCCGGAAGGATAAGTGTTTTCACCTTGATGTCTCCTGCCGAATCTAGAAAGTTTGTTTGTCACTAACGAGTTTTGCCATTGTTAACTACTTCAATAAATTGTTGTTATGAATGGATCGGTGAAGGATTTAGACCCAGAATAAAACAAAAAAGTTTTTTTGTATCCGAAACCTTGTTTGATTTTAGAAGGATTTTTGTTTGGTTGATAAGTCATCTTAAGGAAATGTCAATAAAGTTTACCTGTGTGTAGGATTACCAGCTTTATCCGACAAAACAAACTCTTAATGTGGCAGTTCATGTAATGCTATTTAAAGACCAGGGTTACAAATGGTTTCTCCGCTGATACGACTTCATACTTGTATTTGTAATGGAGGGTGGTTACCCTTCAGAAACACCTGGTCTTATTCCCATTATTCTTTTTCAGAGTTATGTATGCAAATTTTTCTTAATTCATATTTTACTCTGGTTTGTCAATTCAGACTTCAAAGTATGTGGGTTTTTTTACGCTTTTCTTAGTTTTAGTAATTGGTATGCAATGGTTTTCTATTTCGTATAAAGACATTAAAATATAAAGAAAAAACGTAAATTATTACATGTTCATAGAAATATGGAGTACATATTACTCATAGGAGTATATAGTCAGTGGTTTAATATGACGATGAGTTGTAAGGGGTTCCTATATGTTGAAATTTCAGATAAGTATTTCTAAAATACCCTTTCATCATTGCAAAACAAAATTGTATACCTTATTGCCGCTTTGGTATCAATCAATACAACATATTGAAAAAAGTATGGCGATACTTCTGGATATCAAACACTTATAAAACCGTTGGGGTTAGGCGTATCGTAAACGAAATATTGTGCAATATAGCTCCATATTAGTGAAATAATATATACAGTAATTATAATAACCTTACCAGAATGACTTAGCCAGAACATAACAAATTTATATTAGCCATCCTACTAAAGTGTCATTTCATGTCACTATAAACGCATATTAAATGCCTGTTTGGACGATTTTTTAGATGTCATCTTTTTGATTTCCTAATGGTTACTGAATTTGGCAACACTGGAGCTTGCTAAGATGTTCGGATTTATTGAAAAAGTATACATGGAATCGTGCTTAATTATTCTATATAGCTAATTTCAATGAAAATTTAAATAATAATGTCTGTGATATTGAAGTTTTTTTTGTTGTTTTTTTTTTAAACAAG